GCCAACACAGAGATTTAAGAATGCAGTAGAAATCTAGTTAATAATTGGGGCAGGGAGGAGACCCCTAGAAGGTAGAATTAGGCAGACTGAAAATAATTCTAAGATTCAAAACTGAAAACTGCAAGCACACGGTGAATCAATTAGACACAGCATCAATTTAATTTTCTAATTTTATCCGCTTAAGACATTGGATTTACATAGTTTATTCAATATGTTTCCTTCTCAATCTAGATTTCTCTTCTGGATCTGACCTTACATCACAATAAATAAATACAGCAAGCACGCTTGGATCCATAGGATTGCAATCTAAATTCATCCCAGTTAACATTAGCAAAGATTAGATGAAGCATTGCCTTTAACACATTCTGACAACTAGCAGTAGGACATACAGTTCAGGGGGAGAAGGGCTGAAGCTAAACGCTATGTAATCAGAAAAGAAAAGCCCAAACCACAAGATCTATCATTGACTCGTGTCTCACTGAAAATGCACCAAGATGTTCTGCATGATTCAATCACTCATTTTATTACGCAGAACACAGTAAAGATCTATAGGTCACGAATAAGAATGTTTGCTTTATATTTTCTTGAGAGGTGAAACTTCTTAACTGAATCTTACACTTAATCATTTCTAAATCCCAGGGTGTATCTGCTGATCGCTGTTTTGATTTAAAATGAAATTCATTTTCTGGTTTGCTGCATGACTTTTATTTCAGACTTGACTTAGAGATTTATGAACAGGATATAGCTTTTCTTGCTGAACGCTTCAACAATCTTGGTCCCTGCAGTGATTTCCACATTTCTGCAAGTAGGAAGAAACACTCACCACCACAAAATGATATGACACCCCTACTTCAGAAGTCAAAACAAATTTCTTGAGGGCTGAAGTTGCAAGAGGGACAGAAACCCAAGGGAATCTAGCCCTCACACTATTCTGAAAAGCCAATGCCAGTTTTCAATTCATTGCTTCTTAATTAGGAGATTGAAAGAATCTGAATACACAATGAATCAACGTCTGTATGGAAACGGAGGGAGAGAGAGGTTATTGATTGAACTCATAGTTTCTCCCGTAGCCTGAAATTCGACATTTTGACACTGACATTGAAATTTGACTTTGACTCAGAATAAAGTTATTTCTGCTGAAGATAGCTGCTCTATGTTGCAAAATCTACCGTGAAGTGCACTATTTATAGCAAATGGACCATAAGTTTCTGAAGACAGAATTAAACAAACCACAGTATACCAGTATGACCCCCTGCCACGTGGCATCACTGCAATTGCATTTCATGAAGTTAAGCACTGCTGACAACTTGTACTGCCAAACAGTCTCGTACCTCGACTTGTAATGCCCTACACAGCACAAGGTCCAAATATTGTAGATCTGCTGCAGCAACGTATATATAACAATATATATATGGTGTGAAAAGGTAAAATACAAGTGCTCCAATTTTAAATTGCAAGGATGAGAACTCCCATTTGGCTACCTGCTTAAAATTGGAGATTTTTCTTACTCTCTGTTTACTTACACTCTATTCTTCAGTGTCAATAGCAAGTCCCATGGGAGAGTACCACAAATCTAACACTGCTCAGATATTTGAGTGTCTTTCAAGTGGAACTCCTAAATAAATAAAGCATGTACTACGTGGAATGTAAATGCATTTAATACACATTGAACTTTAGAAGTTATGTAGGCATTTGGAGAACAATAAATTGCAGTGACTGTAAAGCCGTGGTACTTTTAAAAATTGTATTTGTTGCCTGAGTAATAAGGACAGGGTGTAAAGGGTTTTTGTTTGGTCGATTAGTTTTGTGTTTTGGTATGTGGTGCCTGAAATCGGAAAGGGAGTCAAGTCACTCAGTTCTCTCTGAAATAACACACTAGCAATCTATCAAGAAGTCAGGTACTTTAATGCATAGTATCCTCATTTAAACTTATCAGCTGAAAATTTTACTTTACAGTTCTGGTTTGCAAAACACCTCCCAAATAATTAATTTCAAGCAACTTTACTTTATTCTTGCATGCTCTACCTGACTACTTGGCACTGCTCATATACTCAATTTCCAGAGCATTTCACTTCAAAATGAGATGAACAGAAGCGTGACTCCTGTACATTTAAGAGCACTGAACCACTTGTCACTTCCTTAATCACAAAGCACAATCACTGTTCTGGACACACCTTTTGTATTTGTTTCATCTGCCTCACAGTTTAGGAAATTCCTTTTTTTTTCCCCCCACAAAACAGAAGTAACAAAAAATAAACAAAAACCGACCAAACAAAAACCATAATAGAAAATATCATGTATTCAGTGTTTTGTGTCTTTGAATATTATATAACCATTAATCTTTACAAAATTATTTACAGCTAGAAACCATGCATTTCCAGCACTTGATTTAAATTTGAAGAAAATAGCTCTGCCAGTCCTACGTACACACATGCCTCCAGATATCCACAACTTTTCAAGTATTTGCTTCGTATTAGCCTCTTTTTATTGCAGAGCACTGACACAACATCCAGGATTCAAATCATTTTAAATTAGGAATGAACTTAGTCTGGGCTGCCTGTTAAAAATGGATTAAAAATGGATTAAAAACATTCCAGAAGACAGTCCACATCTTCAGTTCAGTGAGTTGTATTCTAGAAGGTCTATCACCCTCTGCTGATTTTAGTAGAAAACTTTGGTAACTTAGGTAGTTAGGTTCAGCGTTTAGATCTCAGTGGATGAATCAAAGGCTATGGTGGTACGAAAGCAGAAATATTCAGTGAGAAAAGGAAAACTCTTACCAAACCTTGAAACCTGTATATGGACAGAGCACTGCTCAGGGAGCTAGTTGGGAAGGTCAACTGGGAAACTGTTCCTGAAAGCATCCGGTCCAGCACTGACGGTCCCATTTTAAGTACCACTTCTTGTGGGCTCAGGAACAGGCAATTCTGAAATGTCAGAAGTCATGCAGGTGGGGCACCAGGTCTACTCTGTTGAGCAGAGATCTTCTAAAGCTCAGGTAGAAAAAGAAAGAGTATCAACCTCTGTTAGATCTGATATTCTGCCTGCGTTATATTCACAGGCTAATTTAATGACTGGCTGTTTCAGGCAGGAATTTGTCTCTGTCATTTCAAACATCTCAGCACATATATATACATACACATATCACACACCAGCTATACCAGGTTCCATTAAGCTAAAATTTGAGGTGATATTTTAATTATTATTATTATTTTTACATTTTTAAATTATTATTTTCAGGAGCTGGTGGTACAAATGTAAAGCTCAGCACACCTCAACAGCTCTTCCAGGAACCGTCCCTCTTAGATGCTCATATTATGCCTAGCACAAAGAGACTGAGAGCCCACCTGTGGCTCCTACCTTCTCCTGGAATACAACTACACAAATCCATAGTGACTACAACAGTAATCACACAACACTCCTTCACTACACTAAGAGTGCACTTTTTATTCAACTGTAGGATTTAATGAGTTCTGGAGCTTTGTTTCTGGCTCCATTGTAAAGAATAAGCTGCTTATTACTTGTAACAGCAATTCCATATCCTTGCGGTGCATTGAGGCATTTTTAATCTACTTTCACAATATTTACTACGTCCTAATAAAAAATGGGCATTATTTGTTAATTAGATCTAATTTGGAAATTTAAGACATTTCTCAAATAATATTGTTTTTATTCTCGAAAACCTATATGCAAAAATTTAAGTTCTCTCTAGTATGTAGAAAAATGAACCCCAGAGCAGAGACTGGCAGTTAAATACGCAGGCTTTTGACAACATAAAAAAAGAAAAAGTGTTTTAAATATCACCAAGATTCTTATGATCATCTTAACAGTCAGTGGTTACAAGCTACTAGTGCTTTAATTTGGTGCAGAAAAGCTAAACCTGAATTAAACTTACAGAAAACACAGGTTTTCAGAAGTTAGAATTCAGGCAGTTCTCTTCTCAGGTAAAAGATTATTGATGGAACTGTAGAAACTAGCAAACACCAGGGATTTGTTTCTGATACTGATTAATGTTTTCAGTTCAGCACAATTTCTTTCATACTTAAGATCCTTCCTGTTAAGAATCACTAGAATAATTTCAACTGCTTACGCTGTAGTTTACTCTGATTTTCTACTAGTGCTTTTTTTTTCTTTTTTTTTAAATATCCTTCTTTCTTTGGAACTGAAGACTCAGGGAATACTTACCGAAGTTATTTACTGTCTGTATTTGTCTGTTCCTCATTACTGTGGGGTAGGATGCCTTCTGTTCTGTTTCTTCCAATCGAGACGAATATGAAGTAATGTCCACGTTGAAAACAGGCCAACGCTTTGTGAGTTTCTGCTAGGGAGATAACTGTATTCCCACTGCCTAGTGAGACCAAAGCCTTGAGTTTGGAAGAACAGCAGCAGAAGAAATCATTAAACATAAATACTTCTTTGCTTGAGCTACTCTCTCTATCAGATGTAGTCTCCAGAGATGGTGAGAAGCAACAGGTAACAGAGTGTGCACAAGTGCACATGGAACAAGACAAAGAGAAGACAAAGGAAGTCCTTTATGCATTCCAACATCTTCACGTTTCCCTGATGAGGCTAAAAAGAAGCTTAACTGAGGGGTTATTATGTTTGTTTTGTGCAGCTCTTGAACAGCAGAAAACAGACAACCCAGCAAAGTTCAGACATATCTGATATGCAAATTATTAGACACATGATGTGTTAGCATTTTCCTTATTTTGCATTAATTGCAGTTATACCCTTCACTTTAAAAAAAAAATCAAGTGAAAACAAGATGATTCACAGTAGAGACTTTTTTTCCCATTCAAATTGCCTGTAAAGTCCAAAAAAGAGTAATTTAATTCAGAAAATTATTGGACAAGGGATAAAAAATATTTTTTTTAAAAAAAAAAAAAAAAAAAAAAAAAAAAAGTGACAAAAGTAATGTATTCACTATTACCACAGAGAAGTTATTAGAAACCCACACCCTCCTTCCCCACTTTCATTATCACTGAAATAACACGTTTTTACTTCTGCAACAATCTCTACTTACTGCTTAGTGATACTGAGGATATAAACACCCAACAATTTCCATTGAGATATTCATCTGAGATCTGTGGGCACAGGAACATCAGAGTTCACACACGTTTCTGAGTCTCAGAGGTGCTGTTTCAAATACTGATGAATCAGTAAGGTTTACATTAATCAACAATTCTCCAGCTGTATACTGGCGCCACCAAACTACACTGGCGTCAGGAATGCTCTGATAAGCAGCAGTTGATGCAGAACTCTCAGGTGAGAAACCCTTACCCAGGCCTGCCATTGGTTTTCAAGTTCTGCTTGCCAATACGTAAACCAAATTCTGTATTCTGAGTGCCAAGGAAATTCTTTTAATGAAGAGTAAAAGTATTTCCTTTCCAAGTACTTTAATTGCAGCTTTCTTTCAGTTAAATTCTATGTTCTTCTACAGAAAATGTATTAAAATAGTAGGTTACTATCAGAAATAACCATTAGATTAGGGAGATATAGCAATGAGCTTTCCTTCGCTTTCTCTCTCTGCTCAATGTAGGGAGAAAGAATTGTTTGGACAGGGCATATTCATTATTCTGTCATAAAACAGAGTACCTCACACTGCATCAGCTACTGTCTCTGAATTTCAGGAGAGGACAGACACGTGGGAAGCAAAGTAGAATAAAAATTATGCACCCTAACTACTCCACTGAAGGATTCAATACGAACACCAACCTGTTTGTTGTACAACTCTTTCTGGTAGGGTTGACACACTTGGACTGTACATGGCATTTAGTGCCATTTCAGATTGTTTGGGACTTCTAGGCTGGCCTCCAGTTGTCGTTCAAGAAGAACACGGTTCTGTTATTGGTCTTGTGTCAAATATGTCAGTTCTGCAAAAAATTTTGAATACACTGAGGACATCTGAGATATCCCTGGAAGTTGTCACTTCCCCCAGATACAGTTAACTGAAGACAAGTGTCAAATTCTGTGATACCATGATGTGACAGACCATTACATACCTGGCCTATGTAGCAAGGTGACCCAAATAGGTCTAAATAATCTGGCCATTAAATCCTAGAGTTATTAATTGCTCAAACAGTTAACTGGTCTGTTATTTACAGGAATAAATTAAACTGACTTACTCCTCATGCTGAATTCTTTGAGCAAAAACTATAAAAACTATTCTGTGTTGCCTTAGGCAAGTCTGATTAAATCTTCACAGGAGTCTTCAAATGCTTAAAACACAGCAATAAGATTCAAGCAATAATTAAATATAATTTACTAAATAATAATAAAAAAACCTGCCTATTTTAGCAACTCAAAGCCAATACAAAATCAATATTGTCCATGCGGTAGAACTTCAAGATATTTATAAATTAATAGTTTTATTAGGGAACTAGACTTGGATTTTAAGCCACAAGGATGCAAATGATGTCAAATAGAAACGATAAAAATCTAAGGTCTCACCAGTAAAGAAACAGTGCTCTGAAATTAATGCATCTCTCTCACTTGTGTAATATTCGTAGTATTAAGCCTTTTCTTCCTAACACCATTTAAAAAAAGAGAAAGAGAGAGAGCAATGACCCAGTCTCCTGCTGGCATCTTGCTAACTCAGGATATCATTACATAGCTAGCACAAAGAAAACACACTGCTTTGTCTGCAGTTCCTCTGTCAGAACAGACACTGAGTTTCTCTATAACTCAGTATTTTTTTTCCAGAGGCTTCTGGGAAAAGGTCATTTCCAAAGCAGGGAATTTGCCTGAATTTCAGCTATCTTGTGTAGATTTGGAATATGCTCTCTTTTCCCTTTTGCAGAGTTCTGAAATTTACCAGTCATAAAATAACACTTTCAAAGGGTTTTCTCCTTTCAGAAATGCTGAAGGTGGTCGGCCCCAACAGAAACCATGCAACAGCTTTCACAGAGTAAGCCTCGTGCACCTATTTTTAACATTTGAATTTTCTTTATTAACACAAAAATATCCAAGTACCTACCAACAGACCACATATATATTGTTTAGATGCAATACTTTAAAAAGACTAGCTTAGTCTTGATCAACCTTTTATCTTTAACAAAATACCTTCTCTGTTCAGCTTTCAAAAATAATGAGCACAGAACTGCTTAGTTATCAGTGAGGCATAGATACTGTACATTTCATTTTCAGTATACTTATTCCTAATGAGGGATGCTGGGTGAGTCTCCAAGTGCAGAATTCTTATCCTGTTAAGGACTGTGTATGCAAAATGAGACTAGTTTAAATTTTAGAACTCTGCTTGCATTTTGGCGCAGGTGAATCAAAGACAAAATCAGTAGCAAGGATAAACTAAAACAATTCACTGTAGCAGATACAAAATAATTTCTCAAATGAGAACAAAGCTTCCAAAAAGTTAGGTGTGGTCCCAGTTGCCACTTATACATGTAGAAAAGAAGAAAAGTGGATGGTCAAAGTAAATTCCACAAATTTTGTTTCTTGAAAACTAAATAGTACAACCACTAAATAGTACATACTGCCCGATTCCTCCCTATGCAAACTGAAACTATTGGGTTGAAAAATTAGATATATTCCAACTAGAAAGCAGCAACAACTTCAGGTATTAGAAAGATAAATTGAACATCTATGAAAGCCTAAACTTCACAGTTAAGTATCACTTAAAAATATGATTTATGCCTCCACAATGGAAAATAAATCATCATTTTGGTGTGAGGGGGCAGAAAAATATCACATTATTAAGACTGAGAATTTCAAAACATTCCAAATGACAAAACAAATGAAAGATGTTCACTACTGAGGAAGTATTTAGGATTAAACTACACAAAACAGAGATAAGTTGTTGCAAACACAGAGGTAGGCTTGACTTTGACTGGCCATTGCTGTCATTTATGAGACTGCAGAGAAATGTAGAATTGTCTGTCAAAGACTGCAAAGAATTGCTTATTTTGTTCAATAAACCATTTTATATGCATGGAACCACATACTGCAGAGTATGCATTCACCAGACAGAGCACAGCTCTCACAAAGCAATTTAACAGGGTGCTGCCAACTTGAAATATTAAGAATTTGATGTCATCTCCCCCACCCTGGCCCCTGAACACAGTTTAAAAGAAAATACTTTCAGTTGCTACATCTGCTCCTGCCTTTTTTTTTTTTTTTTTTTTTTTTTTTTTCTCTCCTCTGATTTATAAATCATATTTTCCATTCAAGGAAAATTTTCACTCTGCTATCTTTGTGCAAGAGATCCAACCTCTGGAAAGCTGCTCTCAGGGACCTGGTGGCCAGCTGCCAAAATCAATGCATCAGGGAGTTCTGCCTGCACCCACGGTGCTGATCTTCAATGACTTCTGATGCCTCTCCCCTGTGGGACAACTCTCTTCTTTTGTTTCCAAGGTAAAATCTGCTGCAGATCACCTCTGCTTCTAAACAAAATAAACAGACCAATTTCTGCCAATGGTTTTGATTGCAAACCTAAGAGCCTGTTTTCTCCAAATATAAAATGATCTTGATTTTATTTTCACAACCTCCAAAGCAGCCACCATCTGCAAAACAACTTGTCATCGGATAGGGCAATTAGTATCATTGTCATCTTTTCTTCTCTGGAATTGCCTAAATATACAAATCAGACTGCAGGAGATGCCAGAACATATATTTCACAGACATTTTTAACACATCTGAAAATTAAATTATTGATCTTTATATTCATCTTGGTTTACTGTAATTTAAAGGCAAAAATTTATTCTTTGTTTAATTTAAAAGCTCTAAGCAGAACATACATTTGGTTAAATCTACCTAAGCATTAATTTAAATAGAAAATGTAAACTACAGTTAATGAGTATCTTCAAAACATGAGAGTGAATAATAATACAATAATTACTTCTGTTTACTAGACTATTGTCAAAACTGCCTCACTGATTCATTATTGTCATTAAATCAGAAAACAACAGCTTATTGTAATTTTCCAGTCTCATTTAATTTTTAATTGAGTTCTTCATGGTTTTATACCGCAAAATCTCACCACCCTGCAATTCCAAATATAAAGAAAAGAGAAAGAAAGTTAATGTAAGACTTTTTGTCTGGATCGTGTTAAGTAACCGTAACCTCTAACTTCTACACATATTTTACTAGGATAAAAAATGAAACCTTTCCTTGTACAGAGACATCTTCAATTTCTGAATGCGTTAGTCAGGGTAATCACAGATCCTGTGGCTTACCTTACGCACCATCTGCTCCTTCCTTTCTCCTGATCTTTCCCCAGGCTCCTCAGAGAAGTCCCAGATGTGGCCTTCCTTCAGCTCCCGCTCCTCTGCCTGCAGGCAGACCTACGGTGTTCATCACTGCAATCAATCTCATCTGCACCAAGCAGGAGAATAAAAAAAACATGTTATTCAAAAAAGATGCGTTGAACTTTACGTGATTTCCCATCACCTGCTTTCTGATCAACTTCTTGTTTGCCAGGCCTTTGCCAGATATTCTGTATTTACAGTCACTGGGACATCAATCCTAAGGCAGTTGGTAAGACAAATTTGGAAGTAAGTTTACGCATCATATTTATTTATATATAATATTTCTGTCCTGTCATTACTATATTCTTTTTGGGCTGCTTTCTATTGAATCAGCATCACAAAATACAGACAGTTGGGAGTTCTTTTAACCTAATTTACTTGATGCGCTTTTCCCTTAAATTGAATATATGCTACTGCAGACAATTTTCAGAATGGAAGTAAAGATTATACAGCATAATTCATGCTGCAGTAGCAACTGCTAAAATCTGAAGATAAGCTATCCCTTTATCCTGTGATTTGTGAAAACACTAGATCATTTCAGACATATATCATGTCATCATCACAATGTTTCTTGGTCCGAGTTTGTGCTATCATCATTCTAGCTAGCTCTAGCAAGCAGAAAAATCTCTAGGTAATCTGATTTTACTTTTTTAAAAAAAGAAATATTAATAAAAAGCCTGTCAGACTAGGGTTTTCTGGCATAATTCAAATAAAAAAAGCCTCAAGTTTCTCCTGAGATAATATGCTACTTCTACATACTGGGGGCAGAGAGAGTATTTAACTTATTCCTAACAATTTTCTCTACAGCAATCACAGGCAATCTTTTCATGCTCAGAAATGTCTTCGGCTATGGTCCTACATTGTAATTTCTTCAAAACCAAAGCAATTTTAAGAATACACCTGCTCCCTCTAGGCCCAAGCCTTGCATTTGCCTCTACGTGGAAAGACTATTTAATGTGGTGGGTGGCCTGTTGTTGTTTCAATTGAATTGCTCTGGAGCATGACTGCACAAAGAATGACAACAGAATGTTAAGGAACTGCAGAACAAAGGCAGGAAGCAAAGTGATGGAATGGGAGCATTTATACCAGTGGGGAAGTCTGATATGTGCTGCACCCTTTGGCAGCAAGAAACTGCTATTCAGGGTGGGATGACTACAACGGATAGAGAAATATCAACCCAAGGAGGAGGCTTTAAAGGAGTCTGCGTGGCAGCATGGGTACAATGAAAGTTAGACACACAACACTTGTAGATGCTCTGGAAATCCCAGCAGCAGTGACAAACATCTACCAGATGATTATGAAACACAATATTGTGCTTTCTCATATCTCATGCACTAGGCAAGATGTGAGAAAGACGGAAAGGAACCATAAACAGTGCAAAACAAGAACAAAACAATAGCCAAGACTGAGTCAGGGGTACCAAAGCAGCAGCTGCCTATGAAGAGGAGGAGGAGAAAGAGAGAAAGAAAGTCTTTACTTCCTTTGCAGCAAGTTTTGGCATCTTATTTCAATATAACAATGTCTAAACTAGCTTTTAAATGCTCAGTCCAGCTTGTCAGCACTGCACTAAATAAGTGCTAGCTTATCCTGTTTCTTAGCTTCTGTGGTACTAGATGTACCTAAAAGGTATGAACACACAAACTTTAGGTGTATTTCAATTAAACATGTGATATGACATGATTTAAATCAAGCTTGACATACATCTAAACCACTTCACCACAAGGTTATAGGCCAAAATCTTTTATGTCCAGTTACCAAAGATCAACTAGCAAAAAATAAAAAATAAAAATAATAATAATAAAAAATATCACTGGTATAAAACATTAAACCTTTTCAATAATAATTTACAAGAGACAGATTCCAGAGCATTTGGCTTTCGTATATTCACACTGGCAATTGGATTCTTTGTAAATATAGAAAATGTTAATTAACCTGATTTACATCTTACCCCAAAGTCTCACACAGACTCACATCCTGATTTTAGTATGGCAGTTTCAACATTAAGCAGAATGTAAATGTTGAAGGAGAATAGAAAAGCTGCATTTTCCTTTCCATAGTAACATTACTTCTGGTAATTTATTCATTGCAAAATTTCTTTACAAATAACCAGATGCCTTCAGTTGCACTGTTTTTGGATACCACAACTGCCAAACCAAACTATTTATCATAACAGAAGGACATACTGAAGAGATGCACTCATTTTGCACTAAAGCTTCATTTTGCCTGTAGCAAAGATGTAGCATAGCTGAATGCCCAGGGTGGTAGCTAGGAAGTTAACATGCACAGACACTGCTGAATGAAGATTACTGAGAAATTCAAACAGTGAAATCAAAACTCAACGTTCACTTGACACAATCTTTGCAGAGCCACTCCTTTGTTACCTGCTAGTAAGAAGACAGATTTAGTTTATGTGGTAAAGCTGTTCTCTTCCACAAAACCAAAAGGGACCTATTTGTGTCTCAGCTGTAATGCAAAGTGGGATATGTACAGCAAGGCAATAATCAAATGTAAATCTGTTGGTTGTCTGGGTGGGCTATAATGTCTGGCAACCTGCAAGCTCACATAAAACAGACCTTATACAGTTGAATGAATATTATCAGCGTTTGTTTTTTATTATGTTACGAAATATCTACTGCCTCCTCAGATTAAGATGATAGAGGATAAAATGGGTAGTTTATAATAAATAGTAGAAAAGTTGGATACACTCGCTATAAATTTCATTCTAGACCATGCATGACTAGAGGCAAGACCTAAAGTCATGATTAAGATTAAATAAGTGTCAAAATCTTATGATTTCAACTGGCTGCATAAGCTCTGCTGCATTGCAATTAATTAGGAAGAATGGAATTTGCCTTAAATTAATGCTGAATGCAGCTCCTTACAACTAGATGGGAAATAAAAAAATTGGATGTAAATACCACATTGACCATCACCAAAACCCAAAGGGATTTAAAGTTTTTCTAATTCAGAATTATCTCCTGTTTTGTTTTTTGTTTTTTGTTTCTTTTTTTTTTAATAACCATTCACATTTGGTAGTCTGGGAAGTACCAAATCAAAAAAAGAGGCAACAAGCAGTAATTGATTTTGCTCATGTACCTAGCTAAGCCTTGCTTATCAGTAAGGAGCAACAATGAAGGGATGAGGCAAGAAAAACACAGAGCAATGGAAAAGGAAAAAAAGAAAAAAGAAAAAAAGAAAAAAGAAAAAAGAAGAGAAGAGAAAAAAAAAGAGGAAACAAACAAAAACAAAAAAAAAAGGAAGTGGATGAATTAGAGAGAATTTTGATGGTAGTCTGGGACAAAACTATTCAAATATTGCTGCAGTGTATCCCAGAATCCACAGTCTAAACAAGAATTCAGGTTTTGGTGTTCTGGTTTTACTTAATATTTCTCTTCTTCCCACCCTCTTTTTTGTCTGATTAAAAGTATTAAAAGAACCTGAAAATTCAGAAATACATGTCATCATAATCAACCAATACCCTTGAAACAGCATATTTTGAAGACAATACGTTTTATAGAAAACACTTCAAGCAGCATTCCAGTATCTTCATTTCTCACTACTACCTACCTGCTGATGGTATGAAAGATACAAGAGAAGATCAAAATAACCGTGGAGATGAGCACAGACAACTTAAAGGAGAATCAAGAAGCATTTCTACAACTTTGGCTGACAATTGCTTTGAGAAGAAAGTGATTTCTTAGAGGGCTCTTATGTAAATCCTCCTCGCAAGCCTCAGCCTAAATGTACGGGTGATTTTTCTTCATTTTACATCAGTTCACCCATCTTTGAGAAAGCATATAACAAGATAATAACACCCACAAAGAACTGTTATCATTTATGTATTTACAAGAAAGCATAAGGAAGGTCCAAATTTATGAGCATACAATATTTTGAGTAAATTAGTTAGGTGACATTAGACTTCTAAACCAGATTTCCATGAGGAAACTATGGCTTTGGCCTGTAGCAGAGCTCCACGAAGGCCAATTGCAAGACTCTTTCTCAGAAATATTTGCTAGCAGCTTGTTGAGATCTTCCCTGGGAAGTTCACAAAGCCATTCTCGTTCCTCTTCTGAAAAACTTCCATGCAGGAAACTAGAATTATACTTTCTAGTTTGAGGCACAAATATAACCTACTCTCAATGCTGGAAAGTCATCTAATACTAATCAAAATGGCTTTATAGAGACTTCTTGCTGAATTTATAAAATTGATTAAGGATTCATATCTGTACCAATATGCTGCCCTTGATAGCAAAATGCAGAATATTTGAAAATCACAGTAGATTTATAATGGAACACAGACCTCAGTTTTTTTCTGAAACTATTGCCTCTGTACACATATCAAATTGATAGTCCAGTATCTGCATATTCTTCTCATTTTTCTTCATGTACGCGTGAGGAAAAGGGTAAAGGAGACAGCAACATATTTTTCCATTGCTAATTTCAGAGAACTTAGTTTATAAATTTTACATTTAGAGAAGACAGAATTTAGAATACATCTTTAATAATGTTTGCTCAGTTATAGGAAATTTCCACCTCACCAGAGACAACGTTCTGAAATCAGTGTGAATATGAAATTAGGATATGTCTTGAATATGGCAATCACCTTAAAGACAGAAAAACTCTTTTCATAATAAAGCTTCAGTGAAACAGTGGCTTGAATAAAAGAAAGGTTCAGTAAAGGTTTCAGTTTCCTTCATCATCTTTGGTAACAGAATTCTGCACCATCTCCTATATCTCCATTACTACATAGTGCAAAAATCAGGGTAGTTCACTAAATAATGGTGAACTGCTTCTTGAGCAGGACTGTCAGAATCTACCTACACTCAGATTTGTGATGTAGTGTGACAGTGCTGGACTGAGAGCAGAAGACAGTGAAATATTATACACGATGCATTTATTCCCAGTACATACTTTTAAACACATAACTGTATGATTTATAACTGTATGATGTTAATGCAAAATCCCAGTTGTGTTATCTCAATCTATGAGACTTACCCATTCACTTCCATCAAGCTGCTAAGTCTTTCACCACAACGTTTTCTAAAGGAGTTTCATTCAGACTTAAGT